GGGGCGCTCGCTCAGGCAGAGGAGCAGCGCGCACAGGGCCCGGCCGTGGCAGAGGGCGGCTCTCCCGCATTCCTCCCAGTGCTGCTGTGGGGCCTAATTTCAAACTGTCTGGTTCTTCTGTCTGGAATTTCTCTTCACCTCAAATCATTCCAGCTTTTAAATTCCCTTTGCTCTGACCACATACAGGGTGGGGCAAAAGTAGTAGGTTTACGGTTGTTTGTATGGAAAATAATACAACAATTAATAAATAACAATACAAGAATAAACTGTTTCACGTACTCACAACTATAAACTTACTTTTGCCCCACCCTATATAACCCCACTTCTGTCCTATCCTACATATATCTCCTTTTCAAAGAATGAAGACACCAGTCAGGTCATTTTTCATAGAACATTGAATTTTGCCTTTGTCACATTTATCACAATTGGATCAAATAATTAAGTAATGAGCTACTTAGTGCCTGTTTGTTCTCATAGATTCAAAGCTCCTCAAGGCCAGGAGTATGTCTATTTAAAAACCTTGGCTTATCCAATATGTTTCACAGAGCAGACACTCTTTAACTTTTTTGTTAAATGAATGTATGAACAAATAATAAAGCACTCAATGTTGACTGCCAACTTATTGTTATATTTTGTATCTCTAGCAGCACTGAACAACTGTGGTACCAGCATGAAAGAGACTTCTTCAATTTATTGAATGTTGGTGTTTTGTAAGGAGTTATGATTACAGGATAATATAAAAATTTGTAAACATTAGAAAGAAATATTAATCGAGTGATATATCACTGATTCTAAGCTAAAAAGGAAAGTGAATGGTAAAAATTGATAGACATAAAAAGTACAAGGTTAATGGGACTAAAGTTCTCAAAGAAAGGCTTAAAAAGAGCAGAAAAGAGGACAGGAGTGGAGAATGGGTAACTGAGGGAGCTGTAGACCTATTTCTTTAGAATACCTCCCTGTTATTCTTTCCCAGTAGAATGAATTTTGGTTTTCAATTTAAATATATAAAAGATTATATATATATAAATGTATATATGTACATATAATTTTTTCAACTAATATGTATAAAGTGAAATTTATTTATGCACTCTGAATTAAGTATAACGTTTAAAGGCTATTAATCTTTTTTTGGTTCCTATTTTTCATCTTCCACGTGTCAAATAGCTAAACAAGGCTTGTTTTAAATGTAACAGTGCAGTTTTCATCCCTCATTCCCCACTTTCAATTACTTGGCTATCAATAACTTCCTAAGAATGCTCATTGGTTTTCAATTTTGAGCATTATTTATGATTGCTCACCATCGATGAGCATTTAGCTCTTTTATCCCTCCCTCATTGCCACTACACAAAACCGTTTCATACTCTCCTACTCCTTAATATTGATGTCCTTAATACATCAAGGTCCAGCATTTATATTAATTACCTTATTATTTCTACTACATAGGATCTCCTTTTATCATCTCCAAGGGAAAATGTCCTTTGTCTCTCTTCTGTGTGGTGTTCCTTGTTTTTTATCTCCCAAATCTTTCCTCCAGTTCTGGGAGATCACAGCCTCCAGTCACTTCCTGAGAAAATATACATAAGATCATGGGAAGGTTTCTCACATGATGATGTTTTGACTAGATAAAGAATTCTGTACTAGAAATCATTTATCTTTAGGATTTTGAAGGCATTGACCCACTATTTTGTAGTTTCTGATGTCGCTGCTGAAAAGCCCCAATCTATGCTGATATTTTGATTCCTACAACCATTGTACCACACACCCTTTCCCCTCCCCCACATCCTTGGCATCTCGTAAGGTTTTCTGTCCATCCTAGTCCTCTGAAAATTTACAATGATGTCACTTGGTGTGACCCCGATATGTAGTAAGGCCTTTCAGTCTGACAATGAAAGCTTTTTTGGTTCTTGGAAATATTCTTTAATTATTTCATAGATAATTTGTTTTTCCCTTTTCATTTTTTCTGGAATTTCTTGTATTAAGATGCTGAACTTTTGGCAATTTTATCTGTTTCTAATATTTTTCTCACATATTTTCCAACTATATATTTTTTGTGCTCGATATGGGATATTTTTTTAACTTAGTTTTTCTTAATTCTGTGAATTTTCCTTTCTGCTATCAATTTTTTAAAATTTTTCAGAGATGCTTTTTGGCTCTCTGAGTGTTCTTTTATAATAGTAACCCATTCTTGTTTCATGGATTCAGTATCTCCTCTCAGTTTTCTGAAGATATTAATGTAGTTTATTTGAAAAATTATCCCCCTTATATATATTTTTTTACATTGCATTTGTTTACATGTGTGTGGACATGCGTTAGGCTTTTCTCTGATTTTTTAAAAACTTTATTTTGGTATTTGATTTTTTTTTGGTCAAATATTTTCTTCAGATATTGCGTAATTCATAGTAATCTACTCATATTTAATAGTGGAATTCTGAAAAGATGATTGAAATCTCATAGACTCGCTAACTAGTTTTCACTATCCAGTGTTCTGCCTGAGCAGGCAATCTTGTGGCGTCCCTCTTGCCGGGTCCAAGTCACTAGAGAGGGTGATTCAGTCTCCTGCCAGCATTCTGGAGCCAACTGGCAGAAGTAGGTAGAGGAGCCTCAGGAATCAGAATGCAAATATTAACCCCCTGTTTCCGTACAGTACTCACACCCACATCTGTGCCTAGTTTCTCCTGCCCCAGAGCCTCGTCTGTTTACCCTCCTGAGAGAACAAACCTCAGGGTGCTGCTGAAGTAGAGGAGGGCGTGGTGGCCAGGCTCATAAAACCCAGGGTGGGGACTGGGTCAGAGAGATGCAAAGCCCACCAAGGGAAATTCTTGATTTCATCAGACCCAAAGGAATGAATTATGTTACGCATTTATCTACACAATCTATTTGTTTCTCTTACCTTTTACAAAATTATTATTACTGTAACAGAAAGGGAAAAAGGACAGTAGAAATGTGGAAGGCAGCAGGTTAATGTGGTGTGACGGTAAGGGTATTTCTGTCTGTTTCTATATTCTCAAGGAGCAAGAGATAAAAATAATTTCAGAGTAAAAATGGGGAATAAAGCGAGGAAGATGAGTGACGGGAGGAGAAAGAATGAAGTGGGCCGTTTTGTAAAAGTATTTGATGGGGACCCCAACTCTTCCAAAAGTTTTATGTTCAGGATTTGTTCATTTGAAAATATTGGTGTATTATTTGGGATAAGCCAAATGCAATAACAGATAGACCCCAAAATGTCTAATGGTCCAAACCCAGTAGAAGCCTGTCTCATGCTCACGCGGCAGCATTAGGCAGGAACGGGGGGCGGGTGACCCTCCTTCACGCCGTCAGGACGCGCACTGGCAGATGCTCTGCCACCTTCAGCACCAGGCTTCTCAAGCCGCGAGGTCCTCTTTCTTCCAGCCACAGTGAAAAAGTGCAAGGGGAGATTTGTTTGAAGCAGGCCTAGGAGAGGATCTGTCAGGTCTGCCCGAATCCCTCCAGCTGAAACTAAAGCAAATAGCCACATTTAATTTCAACTAAGACTGAGATGTGGCCCAGCTGTGTGCCCACCGTGATAAGGAGATTATGGATAATACCGAGCGGCAGTGTGGGCGTTTAGATTTCAGGAAGATATCTATTAAGTATAAAATAAACATTATTTTAGGGTCTGAGGATGCCGTTTATTATTTTTAAAGAGCTTACTTGAAACATTTAATTCCTTAAAAATATCAGGTCAATAAGATGGTACTTTAAAAATTAGTAACAATAATTTAATATTAAGGATAATTTCTGTGTACATTATAGTAGCGATTTACCTCTGTATACGAAGGCATACTCTTTTATATAAAACACACCCCTCGACTTTGCAAAACTGTCCATAGGTGAATTATCTTCATAGGAAATGAAGCATTTATCTTTATGTTTAAAGAGGAACCTTTTTTTTAAATCTCTATAGATGCTTTTCATAGATATTTACTTATTTTAATTCACATACCAGGGTATTTATTTTACTCAGTTCTACTTGGCACCAAATTACCATGTCACAGTGGATATGCCATTGTTAAGGGATCAAAAGAAGCCAAATATGGAAGGAGGAACCGCCCATTTATTAAAATGCTTTTGCTTCTCTGTCTCACACCAACTGAGCCTACAGGGGACCTGAACAAATGCTATTTTCATTTAAAACAGAATTTATGGCACTAAAAGAAAATAATAATTGAAAGATAAAGTTTTTAAACTCATACATTAAAAATGTATCACCCCTTTAGTTCATAAATGCAAACTGTTTAAATTTTATCATTAATTTAGTTTTACCAGTTTTTTACTTATATGAAGATGTTGTTTGCTTCACTTAAGTTGGTTTAAAGCACATCTATTTTTTTTTTTCTTTTTAATAAAGCGACTTCACAAAAAAGAGAAGAAAATTAAAAAAGCGTCAACTCCCTGTTTGACAGCCTGTTTCCATTCATTCACATCTTTCTGTAACAGTCTCCTTTTGATCTAATGGGCTCCAGTAAAAGATGAAAGTTTCATGGTGCGGGAGCCAAACTTGCATTGCTGTTTTTCAGTTACACAGGGATGAAAGGAAAACGCTGTTCCTAATCTTTGATTATTTTTGCATATGTGTAACTTAGAAAGTAACCATAAAAATTGAAACCTTCCATGGGTCTGGTTTGCAAAGAGGAAGCCTCTCATGGCCGATTTAGAAGAATAAACATCCAAACTCTGAATGCTTGAAAAATTACTGCAAGGCCGGTTCTGTGGCATTTCAGGCACTGAAACCTGCCCTCCTTGACGACAGCTATCTATGGCTGAGGAAACTCGCACATGTGGCGTAATTATTTCACAGCCGGGCAGTAGTGGCATCTTTGGAAGCCCTTTCTTTTACTCTTGGGTTGGCGGGTGCAGGGGGTGGGGATAACAGGGAACCAAAGTGACTCTCAGTTTCAGCACTTCTGTTTTGTACAATGCACCAATGTGTTTGTAATCCCTCAACTTCTAGGAATTAGAATACAATTACAGAGGGAAATAAGCCTGGATATGTTGTTCAGACATACTTGCTTCCTACACTTAAAAAAAAAAAGTACTTTTTCTGAGGCCCTAAAAATCATCAGGAAACATATTTCTCACCAGGGGTTATAACAGAAAATATTCATGAATCTAATTTATTTGAGGGAAAGAAAAAAGTATTTTATTATTGAGTTAGCATTCCAAGCCCTATAAATACAAGAGCTGGTAAGGTGCTTCTTGGTGGTGATGATTTTCAGAATTTAATGGTAAAAAAAATTAGGGGATTAAAAGGAAGCCTAATGACTATACTGTAAACCACCCCTTTTGTTGATGACTAAAGTAAGGCAAAGTGATATTATAAATTGAAAGTGATGAAAATCATAGTAATTCAATGTAATAATCAAGATTACCTAATGCAAGGTGGTGTCTGGTGTGCAATGTCTGGCTTGGTTTTTAATATTTTACCACGACAAGCTTAGAATCTGAGCATCATTTTTCTAAAACTGTGAGCAGAATGCCAAAAGATCTATATTTCTTCTCACTATTGTTGGCTGAGAGGTTCATGCTTATATATTACATAGATTATATATCTCCAAAACACTGCTCCCTTAAACTTTGGTGATGTGTTGATTTCCGTGGTCCAGTGAGGACCTTTGATTTTGGACAAATGAGCATGTGAAAGAAGCTCCTGAAGGCTCTTCATGATTCACAGTAATCTAGAAATATACCATGTAAGAAAACAAAATTTGCAGTATAACTACAAGTGATCCCATTATTCAATGTAGATATGGTAAGATAGAGGGAGCCAGTGAAAATGCTACCGCCTACCAAATATATTTATATTTTGGTAGATGGGATATACTTACTTTAAATGCCATTCGTGTCCATTCTGTTCCCTCCACCCTCATTGCTCTCCTCTTTACTCAGACTCTCATCTTCCATTTGGGGTCTTTCTGTTATCTCTTAATGGTCTGATCTACACTGTTGCCAGAATGGTTTACATAAAATACAAACCTTTGATTTTCCATCTTTTCTCCTACTGAAATACAAACGTTGAGTGGCTTGCCATGCCTAAAGAATGAAGCCCAGGCTCCTTAGAAGGGCACACGACACTAATGCCTCCTACGCACCACCTCTGCACCACTCCTCCCTCACCTCTTATCATTACTCAGTTCCCCTGCGTGCTGAGCACCGATCAGAAAGGCCCCAAAGCTACACAGAACTTCATGCCTGCTTTCACTGCTCCTTATATTTTGTGTGCCATACTGTCTTCCTTTTATCTCATCTGCTTTTAAAATCTTTGAAATTAAAATTTTAAATTGACATCTTAACACATCCCTGGCATACATAACCATCAACTTGGCATAGCCTTGACTTGACTAGGTAGGAGTGTACCTGACCTCCATACTCCTGCTATAATTCTGTGGTTTCTCTTAAAGCCAAATTTATCATGCAGCCTCAAAAACATAG